CAGGTTTTTATTTGGATAAGTTGCTTTTTCTTTATACCGGTATACCTGTTAGAATGAAAGCGAGCCGTACATACATTATTCAAATCGGCTGCTTGCTTCGACATTGCTGATAGATTTCAGTCATGTTTTAAAATTCTCCTTCAGCTATTGTAGCTTTCTCTCATTGCATTTGCTTTTCTCTCTCTTCAAGCTTCTCCTTGCAAGACATCTCCCTCATTACTGGCCATTGTCTCCTCCCCACCTCCAGCCTTTCACAGGGAATTGGAGGGTTTCATTTTCCCACCCTGTAACCTTCCATTGTTCCGCTTCTGTCTGCACCCCTGACCCAGATTCCTCACGCAATTGCAGGCTACAAAGCAGCCTCTCATCCCCGGGGACAGAGGTTTTATTTCGGTTCTCGGGTAAATTCTGATCTGTGTATCTGTATCGCCGCAGCCAGAGCTTCAGATATTTGCAGGTGTTGCCACATTGAACCTGGTAAATTTTTTTTTTTTTTAAAAAAAGGGTAAACCCCTGATATTCAAGCTCTTTTGGATCATAATTTCTAAACCTATTATCTTCTAACCCAGCTCTTTGAATGTTATTCTTGCAGTACTGCTGTATTCTTAGTGAAGGCTTATTGATAATCATGTGAGTATGGTAAGAAAGAGGGATTGATTTTAATTTCCCATGATTAAGCTCATTTATGTATGGCAACTGTATATTCATCAACTTTTAAATCCCTTTGAAATGTACCTACGAACACACACACCTCACATGCTTAGTTACTAAAATACTTCTAATCACAGGAATTACGCTAAGTGTTTTCTGCAGAATCGGAGAGCCCAGCAGCGGCCAGTTCACTCCGCCACACAAAGAATTGCCTCTAATTAAGCCTTCCAACTCCTTGTTGTTGTTTTTTAAGCAAGTTCTGTGAATGTGCTAGGCTCCTTGTGAGAGCGGAGTGAAACTGGCTCTTGTCACGTAGAGCAAAGTTTGGGGACGGCAGTGTAATAGAAATGCCAGGTGACGGAAGGGCTGTCTGGCACATGGCTATGGAACTTGCACTGCTATTTTTTGGTTTTCTTTTCTAATTGATAACTCTTGCCATCTGTTCCTGAGCCATCCCTCTGCTGTCCTTTCCTACACACAGTCTCCTGCCCCCATGCTACTCTTCAGACTTGGACTGGCTGCCTGGAGGCTACTAACAGGAGCTGATTGACACCAGTAGTAGCTGGGTGGTAAGAAGATGCTACCAGTGAGGTGGGAAGAGAGATACTAATGCTAGGTCAGCTGAGGCTGGGCTCTCCAAGCATCATTTGATGCTCAGATGCTTCTCCCTCAGTGCAGCTTCCTGAGCAAACTCCCCAGATTTTTTCCAGAAAAATAAAACAAACCCCACCTTTGCTTTATAAAATAGGCTTAACTGTTCCTGAGGTGGATTCCTTCTGACTCTGTCACCGCTGCCTGCATTCCTGACCACCTTGTGGCTTTCTGGCATAAGTCATCTAGAAGCACTGTACCAACCTAGGTTGGGGTTTTTTTCCAGAAGTCTTTTTGTACTTTACAGTCTATATTTGAATCTGTCTTTTCTTGTCTAACTCTCCATTTGGTGGCTTAGCATATGGGAAGCCTATTTTATAGTGGAGAGAAATGCATTTATACATGCCAAGAACTGTATTTTTAACAAAGACCTAGATGTGTATACAAGTCAAAGGGATTTTTCTGGCACGAACTCCAAAATGGACAAAATAAAAAAAGAATAAAACATGGCAAGCGTAACTGTGTTCTACCATTATCTGAGAAGCCCTTGCTCTTAGAGGCATGTTGGTGGGGTGATTAAGAGCATAGATTTGATCAGGTTTTGTTTTTTTTTTTTTTGCTTTTTCTAAAGGCATTTAAGTGCCTAAAAATAGGTCCTTAGGAGTAAGTCAGTCACTGGTTTTCCAAAGATTTCTAACGGGAGCTATGGGCTGAAATACCTATAAAATTAGGGAGCCTGATGTTACAAATGTGCAAAAAAATGCTAATCAAAATTAACTTAAGAGCCCATGTTTTGCTTTCCGTTTAAGGTGGTCTTTTCTTCTCAGAGACATCCCCATGCAGAGCTCACACACGTTTTCCTGAGCACCCACAGAAGCAGGGAAATAAGGGCTCACCTCACCTCTATTTGTAAGGTTCTTCCTGATTTTTACATTATGGATGCTAAGGGCTTGTGGGTTATGTTATTGTTGTGTGCTAGCACAGTAAAATTATTAGGTTTTTGTCCCGAGCTAATAATACCAAGACTACCATTGTAAGGCAGAAAATCTTTCAGGAAAAGGTGGAAGCTGCTGGAAATTTTTCTTTCTTAACTTCCCAACACCACAGATTTTAGGACTTCATTTAAAATAAACAAACTCTAATAAGTTATTAGTGAAAATCAGAAAAATATCAAAAACTGCAGCTCCAAATAGTTCACTGACTTCCTTGATTGTCGTATTTTCCAAATGTACAATAGTGTTTATTGCAGTAGGCTCTGCCATGTAGGAAGAAATTATATTTCCTGCGTTGGGGGAAAGACAGACAGTTAAATGGAATAAAATGATCACTCGTCAGGTGATATATCTGATGGTGTAGATTGGAAAGAGTTCCCACAATTTCCATGAAACTCAATAATTTCAAGTGACTTTAATATTTTTTTTATATTTTTATAACACTGATTAGAAACCTCTAGATGATGAAATGCTACAGCTCCGGCAAGAATCTAATAAAAATACCCCCTGGGATTGATTTTGATTGACTACAGTTGCCTGTCTGTTTTTATTTTACTGTATAGGAACAGACATGAATGAGCACAACTGAGTTAACCCCTTCCTTGCCTAACTGCTGTGATTAGGTACTTGGGCTATCACTCCTTTGAAACACTGACACCCACGTAGAGGAAAAGGCAGTTTGAGGATTCGACTCCCAGGTTTCTACACCCGGTGTCACCTTCTCAGTAAAATGCCCAGGACGTTCTGCTTAAAGAAACATGAGCAACACTGAGATCCCATCCCTTTGTAGACACTTAATGCTTATGGCCTGTATGTCATCTTCTGTGACTGGTCTTGTGGTTATTAAAGCACAGAACTGAGCACAGGGAGGCAGTGATTTTCTTCTTTTCCCGTGGGCACGACAGGTAATTCTCCTCTTGAAGTATACGGGGATCCATCTGTGCTTTGTATTGTCAATAAAGCCTATTGCCCTGCACTGTGCAAAATAAAGATGCACTTCCTAGGAAACCTGCGCCCGCGGGCACTGCAGCAATGCCTGGAGCTAAGGAGACACCGCGCAGCGGCACAGCCGTTACGTTACCGTGCGCTTGCTAAAAGTAAGGATCACCAGCAAACACTTGCCTAACTTTTACAAAGGGCTATCGAAGGCCCATCAGTAAGCAAAAATTAAGACTTCAGGCTCTTTCCTGAGCGTTTGAGGAACCACCACCATGCAACTGGCTTCTGTCAGTCTCCATGTGGCTATCGAAACGGGAGTGCTACCAGATACTGAGCATTTCATGCAGGGTTCACGAGCCCTTGTGTACTGTTGGCTAAGTTTAGTTAGAAAGCGCTATGGGAATGTAAAATAGTATTAATAATTGTAGCTCCTTTGCCATTTGTAACTCCAATATAATCAGGGGGTTTCAATGAAGATATCAGAAAAAAGTAATGCACAGAAGCTTCTAATTCAAATTAGTGGCACGGTCGTTCTGGAGTAGCAGTTCTTGTTCTGGAAATGATACTGATTCTTCTGGGGACCTAATTAATGCACGCATTTATAAGTTAGTGAATAACAGTTCAAAGTTATTCTTTAGAAAGCTTTGCATCTTTTCAAAGTTAAGAAGAAAATTCTTCCCGTCAGATAAAGACATTTAATGATGTACACATGCTGTGTCCGACATTTGCTCTGGTAAGATTTCCACCTGCTAAAGAATAGTTTCTTTTAAAAATAAATTGAACACAAGCGTAAAATTCTATTGATTTACAGAAACATTCCTTTCTTCATAAATTAATAACTGTGTAAACACTGGAATGTTAAATTAAGTTTAAACTATTCCATTTATTTATGCTTACTAATTCTTTTCAGTGTTATGTTAAATATGAGATCATTATGCATGCAGAGGTTAAATCCATTTAAGTAATTTATTTTCTGTCTGTCTTGAAGCAGTTTTCTCCGTGAGAAAAAGACCTAATTTTCAGAATAGATGCATTAGTGATCAGCAGAGATGTCTGAAATGGAATATTTATTAACTGTTATATAGTTTATACTATTTGAAGACAATTTTTTAGTGGAGGTTACTCTATATATAGTGCATTTCCTATTCTTTGGAATTTCTGTATCTTACATTTAACTAGTTATGCTTAAAATTTTTGTGATTGTTAGCACCTCCCCCCTGCTTCCTATCTGCCTGTTTCAGTTATTTGCTCTTCCTCTGGGAGCATGTTTGCACTGGCTGGCATAGCTAGCTATAGAATTTTTTTTCAGAATTAATACTTTAAAAACCGCAATGGCTACACATTTATTTTCCGGCATCCGCACTGAATTTAGCGGAACGGCTTGGTCAAATTTTCATATTGTTACCCTGCGCAAAAAGAAATTCTGTTTTATGCCAGTGTAGTGAAGGGGGAGTGGAAAATAATTGTGCTTGTCTCTCATCTGGTTCAGACTGGAATATAGGCCACGTTAAGATATTCTGTTTAGCGGCAGTTTTGTCTCCGTTCTCAACGTAGTCATTGTGCGAAGCTTGGTGTGATTTGTATTTTTCCTCAAATTGGCTCTTTGGAGCGTTGCAGTAAGCAAGCAAATAAATGGCAAAAAGGAAATAAATGGCAAAAAGGAAATAAATGGCAAAAAGCAAGTAAATGGCAAAAAGCAAGTAAATGGCAAAAAGCAAGTAAATAGCAAAAAGCAAGTAAATAGCACAAAGCCTCTGTGCACTGAGAGTCAGCTGTGCAAGTTGAAAAGCTAAATGCACTTCTACAGCAGCTCTCATCTCTGTCAAGGTTTCCCTTCTCCCCCGTCGCAGCCTGCGGAGCGCCGCTGCGAAGCACCTTTCACACCTCGCTCCCCCCTGCCCTTTGCAAATAGGAATTTTTGGCCCCTCGGAGCTCGGGCCGCCTGCACCTCCCTCAGCCCGGTGTTCGCTCCTGCACAAACGCTGGCGGAAGCAAAAGTATCGTCTGCAAGGCTGTGGCGGTGGTGTTCACATG